ATATTTTAGAGATAGGCACAATAATGATAAAATTAGTTCAATAAGAAATGGGCAAGAATATATGAAAATGATTCGAAGAAAGTAGAAATACAGATGTGTGATCTTAGGCAAATTATTTAACATCTCCAAATCTTTTTTCATTTGTAAAGTTGAGGTGATAATAATAGCAACTAATTTGGTTATGAAAATTACTTTAAATATATATATATATTTATCACCCATTTTAGGGATACAACAAATGCTCAATAAATAGTAAGTTATTACAGTGGTTATTAAGACAAAAGAAAATCTAGTAACTATAATATCTGGGTAAACTACAACTATACTTCTTTTGCTAGTTTATATTAGGTTACATTGCTGAAAAATATCATTTTATTAAAGTTATAGGATAAATTCAAGTGTTAAGCTGGAAAATGAATCTAAATTTTTGCGAGGTAGCTGGGACTTCAAAATTATCCAGTTTCCTTTTCCTGAAACTCTATACCTTATCGATCTTGAAATAATACATTTGTTCTGTTTCCCCTTTTGTCCTTTGACAAAATGAATTGCATAAGATCAATTACTATCATCTTTGAAACAAATTTTCCCCTTTTTTCTGTTTTTTGGGTTTTTTTTTTTTGGTACCGGGGATCAAACTAGGGACCTTGCGCTTGCGAGGCAGGCGGTGGAACCACTGAGCTAAATCCCAGGCCCCAAAGTTTCCTTTTAAATGTTTAAGCTGAGGCTTAAACTGAGACCGTTCTTTTAAGAATTTTTATACTTTAAAAATTTTTTTTCAATGGGACTTGAAGTAACTGCTATAATTAAAAATTGTTAGACTTATCAAAAAACAAGCATTCAATCTTTCCCAGCCTCAGCTTCCTCATTAACAAAAAAGAAAGACAATATTTAATCATACAGTATGGCTATTAAATGACTTTAAAGTAAAAGCCTAAAGATCATAGGAAGCACCTTAGCAAAAACAGTATAGTATCCATTGTTTCTAAGCTGGAACCAAAGATTTTGGGTGAAGAAATGAAAGGTGAACTATGTCACTGGAAGTCACCTGAGTAGCAGTTTCAAACTACACACACTGGTTTTTTATTTTATTCTTAATGTTCTCCTCTAATCTGAATAATTGGAACTGATAGAGTAGTAGTGAGTAAGCTTGTATGATGCCATCTTTCCACCTTCCTCAAACATTACTTCTAACCATGTAAAGAACTGATCTAAACTGGGTGTGATGATACACACCTGTATTCCCAGGACTCAGAAGGCTGAATCAGAAGGATCACAAGTTCCAGGCCAGCCTGGCCAATTTAGTGAGAATCTGTCTCAAAATTCAAAAAGGACCAGGGCTAGGGATTTAGCTCAGTGGTTCCGCCGCCTGCCTCACATGTTCAAGATCCTGAGTTTGATTCCCATTAAGGACTGGAGATGTGGCTCAGTGGTTGAGTGCTTGCCTAACATGTGCAAGGCCCTGGTTTTGGTGGTACAGTACCACCAAAAAATAAAAGAAAAAGAAAAAATATAAAACAAAACTGATCTAATTCAACCATCCACTTCATTTGGCAGGTCAAGAGCTAAAAATCTTAAAGTGAAATAATAATTTCTTCTAACTTAAAATTATGAAACTCTTGGCTTACTTTATGTCAGTATTTGCTTATAAATAACAGGAATTCTCAACAAGATTCAACTTGTCCTTCTGTTGACCCCCTCTGATTTTAAAACACACATGATAAAACATTTCCTAAACTATAATGAAGAGCATAAGAGGGAAAACATAAAGCTTTTTTATCTTTTCATCCTCCAAGTTCATGTCACAGAAACAATGACTTTTTTTCCCCCAGTACTGGAGATCGAACTCAGAACCTTGTGCTTTCGGGGCAGGCAGGGTGCCACTGAGCTAAATCCCCAGCCCCAGGAGCAATGACTTTTAAACTTTTAACTTAACATTTCTAGTTCTTCTAGCTACTGTGTTAATCCTGTAACTTAAAATCTATGCCATTTACAGCTGGACACAGTGGTGCAAGCCTGTAATCTCAGCATTGAGAGAGGCTGAGGCAGGAGACTTGTGAATTTGAGTCTCTCCTGGGGAACTCAGTGAGATCCTGTCTCAAAAAAAAAAAAAAGGGATGGAGATGTAGCTCAGTGGTAGAGCATCTCTGAGTTTGACCCCCAGTATGTGCTGCCAATAAATAAGTAAGTAAATAAATAAATAAAGTCTATGCTATTTAGTATAATAGCTTGAAGCCACATGTGGCTGTTGATACTTGAAATGTGACAAGTCTAAGCTGGAAATGTGTCATAATTGTAAAATACACTCTAGATTTTGAAAACTTAATAAAGAATGTAAAGCATCTAATTTATATTTTATCTTGATTACTACTTGATATAAAGCTATTTTATTTATTTGGGGGGTGTTGCGGCAGGGTCTCCCTTTGTAGTTCAGGCTGGCCCTGAACTCACTATGTATCCGAGGCTGGCCTCAAATGTGCAGCAGTCCTCCTGCCTCAGCCTCCCAAGTGCTGGCATTACAGGCATGTGCTACCACACCCAGCCTATATAAAGCTATTTTAGATACATTCAGTAAATATATTATTAACATTAATCTGTTTCTTTTTATCTTTTAAAGGTAACTGTTAGAAAAATTTCAACTACACATGACTTGTATTTGTTGCTCATCTTTGTCTCTGCTGGGCAGTGCTGCTTGTTTTTTGTGGCTTTTTTTGGTACTGGGGATCGAACTCTGGTCCTTGCGCTTGCACAGCAGGCGGCGAAACCACTGAGCTAAATCTCCGGCCCAACTTGTTAAAAAACATATACATTGTATCACCCATCATGGATGAATCAAGTTTTACTCATGAGACATCTGAGTCTAAGCTGATGCTTATTCCTTTTCAAGAATGTAGAAAAAAAAAAAAAAGAATGTAGAAAGTTATTATTTCCTTTGAACTTTTAGGAATTTCTTTTCCTTGGTATTCTAAAATTTCACGAGCATACTCTGAATGTAGGTTGGTTTGTGTTCATCTTGCTTAGAACACATGGTAAGGTCTTTAGTTTGTCTCTCCAGTTCTGAGAGTTTCTGTTAATATTTTTTGAATTATTTCCTCCATATTTGTGAATGGGAAAAGGTCTTGTAAGGTATTAAACCTCTTGAATTCTCTGTTTTTCTATAATTTTCTCTTATGTTTTCTATTTTTCCATCCTGATGTCTTTTTGTCAGTGGTCTGAAAGGTTGCCTTATCCCTATCTATTGATGGTATCGTGAAAAATAGAGGGAGATCGGTAATCAAAGTTTTAATTATCTATAACTCTTATTCTCTGTTTTATCATAGAAGCTTTTTTTTTTTTTGGTACCGGGGATTGAACTTGGGTCCTTGCGC